GCGCTTAGGGATTATAACCCTTACTAAGTAGAATTCTCCTTTCTGTGTTGCCGGAAAAGGGGACCGGAAGTATTTTTGCGCAGAACTTCTTTCTGCGTAGGCAACTTTTAGCCGCGCTTAGGGATTAAAATCCTTACTAAGTAGAAGTAAATAGTTCATATTAGAAAAAGCGAAATTATCCATATGCACTAGAGCGGGTCGAAAATCTAATTTTTCTCAAATCCCTTGGTAATAGTGAAAATATATTGTATCATGAAGTGAACAAGAAGCCTGCAAAATATTAGTCTTTTATTTTAATTGTAAGAGCCCGCGCATCGACCGCCAAGTGACCCACAGCACACTAGTCGAATAAGACCAATTCTTGGTCAAAATTCTGGGTTCAGCAAAAGGGTTGGTGCATATTTTTAGACAATGAATGCGTTAACGCAAAAGATAAAGTCAAATATAATTTGCGCAGCCCTTTATCTTATGCTTAATCTCAAAGGTATCTGTTTTCAATCAAATTTTTATTGTTCTCTTGATAATTGCACGATGTAAAGAACATCATCAATATTGCTGGCGTGCATTTAGGTCGCTGGTTCCAAATATTCTAATCCTTTTTTAATATTAGCTATAGTTTGCGAAATTTAGAAACAATTTCGGTAGCTCTAATAGAAAAGCCATTATTTTCCATCATGGAAACACTTAACAGGCACAACTTCTAGAAACACTAATTAGTTTACATATGTTTATGCATACAATAGAAAAATTGCAAATGTAGGAAAATGACAAACATTTTTTTTTACATATTTTTTATTTTAAAATAATTTGTTTATAATCTGAATGATTTTCATCATATTATTATCATAAATCAGTAACAGTAAGGCTCGCCTTCAATTTGGTAATTATTACGTATCGATCGAGCGGAGTTAACTATAATATTTTTGTATAAACACTTATTGCTTCTCCCCTACCTTCATATAACGGCAAAAAATGTGCTTCTACGGTGACTAATGAAACCATTCCGCACCAATTGTCAAGACAACATAAATGGACTTATAGTGGGCGTTTCTCACCCTAATTGTATTAAGTTAATGTTTGTAAATACTTATATGCTTGAAACTACTATTAACTTATCAAACGATTCCTAAACTTTGACAATACATGTTTGACTTCATTCACCACGATCTTGAAAACTGACCAAATCGGCGTGACCAAGCCCATGGTCCCTTTAATATTATATAAACATCCGAAAACATTAAAACGTTTGAAATAAATGGCGTCTCACTTTTTTTGTATTTTTCACTTGGTTGCTGAAGTAATGAAGAATTGAAAATTCATAAGGGAAAATTATAGTTTTTGTAAGTTTTAACTTAATATCTTAAAAACCTCCAAGTGTTGAAAAATGACAAATGAACGAGAGGTACTAAATTTAATAGCCCTTAATTTGATATATCGTCCAGTTTTAACAATTGACGCATTCCATAGATATTACTAGCCAAAGTTTCATTTTCAAAATTCATACATTTTGATTCAATTGCGCGGGCTAAAGATACGTTTTGAATTAATCTTTCGTGGCCAATAACAATTGGCTTAGACATAAGACATCATAATATTACTATTACAATACGGTCAAATGCATTTTATTTTCCCCCATACAAAATCGACCCAGCCTAATATGCACACTTTCGTTAGAAACCCGAAATAATGCATATAACAAAAACCGAAATAATGCATGCATGCACAATTTCGGTCCAAACCGAAATAATGCATATGACAAAAACCGAAATAAAGCATACATGCACAGTTTCGGATGAAAACCGAAATAATGCATATGTGAAAGACGAAGGTATGCATACATGCACAGTTTCGGTTTAAAACCGAAATAATGCATATGAGAAAATACCGAAATTATGCATATGCATACTTTCGTTTTAAAAGCGAAATAATGCATATGAAAAAAAAAAACGAAGTAATGCATACATGCACAGTTTCGGTTGAAAACCGAAATAATGCATATGGCAAAAACCAAAATAAAGCATACATGCACAGTTTCGGTTGAAACCGAAATAATGTCTAAATACACAGTTTCCATATGCGCAATTTCGGTGCCCCAAATCGAAGCTATTAGGTAGGCACTTGAAACTTGCACTTTATTATACTGAACTCCACACCAAAAAATTTTATACAAATTCTGAATTATCACGGTAACAAAATTTGTCATGGTAACAAGAGAATGCAAGGAAAGAGAATTGGTATGAATGTGTGGAAATTTCAATATATGGAAGCAATTTATTCATGCGAGAAACTTACATGCTTTTATATGTATATTAAAAGGTATAGAACTCACTCGCTGTTCTGCGGGCAATATAAGGCCCAGTTTAACTGCTTTTAGCAAATCTATGCTTTCTTTAGTAGCGGCATGTACTAAACAACCGTATATTCCATCGATAAGACCGCTGTTGATAGCCGCAGTCAAGGGGATGATTTCATCTGTAGTAGAAGCTCGAACCACCGTCGACGAGGGATCCAACAAGCCATAAGTAATGGATTCGAATAGAGTCAGTTGATTGTCTGGTTTAAAATCGTAATTCATTTGAAATGGATCCAAGAAACAACCATTTTCGGGATTGTATAAGTTATACTTTATTGCTTCTATCAATCCGAATGGCCTTTTGGGTGTTACAATCGATCCAGATTCATACGCTTTCTTCAACGAACATAGCTTTGATGTTTTTGTATTAAGCACATTTGCCCTTTTTGTGTCAATCAGGCCCTTCCGAAAGGCTTCGGTTAAGCCAACAAGTTTTGTTTTAGCTTCATCCTTAATAAATGCTGACGCCGGATCAATAATGCCGGTAGTGACAGCATCTTTTAAGCAAAGAAGTTCGACTCCTTTATATAAATCAGCTCTAGCGCTAGTTTCACTGGTATCATCTTCAGAAGCATCGTTGGAATGCATTTTATACGTCAGCATACCAGTTTCTAAATCAAGACTTTTACTGTCCACTGCTTGATCGAATGTAATAGGCTCTCGGAAGTATATAATTACGGAAGGATTATATGCAAAGAATAACGACTTCGGATCGATTAAGTTTCGAGTTTTCATGTTAAATAAATTCTGTTCTTGAGCTACAGTAAATGAAATTAATTTGAGAGAGGGCAAATGTCGTACCAATGCAGTTTTAGGATCGATGACATTACAACTTATTGCTTCTTCTAAAGACATTTCTTGAGAGGAGGTTCTATCATATTTGTTCGTAAGCTGTTCTGAGTAACCTTTTTTTTCGAGACTTTTGAACAAAGGCTTAGAAGTAGGTACCAATATTCCTTCACTAAAAGCTTTGTCATAACTCAAGAATTTTTCAGTTTTATGATCAAACACCTGCCCTTTATGAACATTTATATAACCATTCTTTATAGCTTCTTCCAGAATGTAATCACCCACATTGCTACTAAATATTGTAGTATTTGAATTTATAAATCCACTAGATATAGCATCGCTTAAGTCATAATATTGCCCTGCTGCTCGATCATAGAATGATCCATTTTCAGGATTATATAATTTCATTCGAATTGCAGTTAAAAGGTCCAGTAACCGACAACTTGTCACAATTAAACCCCTTTCGCGGGAACTTTGTAAATCTATTTGTTTGCCGCTTAAATTATAAAAACCGTTTTCGTCAATTACTTTTTCCGAAATAGCATGAGACAATTGCATGTATTTTCCATTGTTTTCATTCTTTATTAAAGTAGTTGTGGTGCTTACAATCTTCTCAGTACATGCTTCCCTTAAGGTAAGCCTCTTGCCAGTAACCGGATGTATAATTTTATTTTCTGATGCATCGTAAAATCCCATAGCAAGTGTTTCATAAAGCCCAAATTCTGCATTTTCAATATCAACAATTATACCCATTTCAAGTGCTTTTTTTAATGTTACGCATGCGTTGCTATCATGATCCGTAAAAGTACCTTCTCGTTTATTAATAAGTCCCAGACGACAAGTTTCATTCAAATTGTAAAGTTTTTCGTTTATTTTATCAAAGTAGCAAGGCAATTGAGAATCTATAACACATTTACACATAGCCTCCAATAAAATAATTTTTTTCCCAGATTTTGTATCGACTATCTTGCCACTACTTTCATCATATAAGCCTTGAATAATAGCTCTTTGAATGCTTACTGGTGCTTGTGTATCTTTCAATATGCCCACGTTAAAGGCATGTTTAATATTAACCTTTTGGTTGTTATAGGATAACATACAGCTATCGCCATCAATCACGTCTTTTAAATTAGCTACGGTTATATTTCTGTATAGACCAGAGTTATTATCTTTTAATTGTGTACTATTTATGTCTATTACATGTGTTTCAATTGCCCTTGATAGAGATAGTTTTTGACCTGTTTTAGGATCAAGAACACTTCCATCATTGTCATTATAAATGTTTTTAATTACGGCTTTCCCAAAAGAAATTGGTGTTTTAACATCGAGTAAAGTTCCACAATCAAATGCCTCTTCAATATCAATTTCTTGTCCCTTTCCTACTTTGACTGTTCCTCTTTTAGTATCGACTATCCCAGCTTCTACTGCTGCCATAAATGGAAGGAATTTTTCGTCCAGGTGGACGATTGTCGAATGTGGATCAATAATTCCCCTGCGAATAGCAGTTCCAACAGAGAGTTTTTCTCTTGTAACTGTGTTACTTAATTTGCCTGACTTTGGGTCGTATAGGCCATGATACATGGCATCAGGTAAACTTCTTTTACGCTTTGGCGGAAGTAGGAATTTATGTTCGAAAGCTTCAGTGAGGGACATTTTTTTTAATGTGTATGGGTTAACCATATATCCACCCACAGGATCGAGCAAACCTTTATCTATAGCCTCCATTATGCTTATAACGGAATCAGTACAAGGGTCTAATATAATCAATTCATTTGCATTAATATATTTGAGAGCTATTGCTTCTTTCAAGTTACAAATTCTATCATCGATTTTAAGAGTCGATGTAAAGGGGTCAAACATGTTTCGGCCTAAGCAGTCAACTAAAGATAGTGGTTTCTTCGTACTTAGAAGATATCCTTTTACAAAAGCTTCGTCCAAGGTAAGGTACGGTAATTTTAAAACGCCTCTAACAGTGTCAAGAATGCCTTCCTTGGCTGCCATTTTCGCAGAAATAATTACGCCATCTTCCTCATTTTTTATTAAGCAGGTATCTAATTCTACAAATCCTAATTGAACTGCTTCTTGCAAAAGAATTTCGTCTCCAGTTATTGGATTGAATACTTTTCCGGTGGTAGGGGAGTAGTATTCACGTTGTAGTAATTCAGTTAAACTCCAAGTAATGCTATCAGTCTTTACCAAATGATTTTCAATACCTTCGTTAAAAGGCATACAAATATTTAATTTTGTATCTTTTACCTGACCTTTTTCTGGTATGACTAATTCATCCTCAATTGCACAATGCAAATTTAGTTCTTTATTTTCAAGAGAATCAAAGATTAGGGATATTTTGGGATCAACTAATCCTATTTCTATGGATTGTTGAATATCAACTTGGTTTTGAGATTCAGAATCATAAAACTTTCCTGTTTCTTGATTATAAAGACCCTTTCGTATAGCTGCTTCAAGAGAGATAGGCTTACGTGGACCAGGTACAAGCAATCCCAACTTAAGTGCTTCCTCCAAAGGTATTTCTTGCAATGTTTGAATATCAATCATTGTACCTGATTGCATATTTACAACTCCCAATTCAATTGCCATACGCAGTGGAATAATTTCACCACTTACTGGATCTCGTACTGAAAAAGAATGAATGTCAATATCTCCCATATTAATTGCATCGTTTATAGAACGGAGTCGACCATCGTCAAGCAATATTTTACCAGTTTGTGTATCGATCATCTTTTCGATTGAAGAAGGATGTTTTTTATTTTCTGGATCGACATAAGTGATCCATTTTCGCGTGACGCACTCGAAGAAAGGAATTTTTTCACCAGTTTTAGGATCTACCATATGACCATTATGCCGATCCAGCAAAGGGCGGTCCAATGCATCTAATAACGTTTCATATTCGCCACTGGTAAAATTTTTTACCAATATTAGTTTATGATTAAAAACTTTACAGTTAAGCACTAAGTCATGAAATGATATTTTTCTTTTTGATAAAGGGTCTACGAAGTACTGATTTTCCACATCGAATACGTTAAGCTCACTCATTTTTTCTTGTGTTAATAGATGCGACGAATTTATACAGAATAGATCGCGTTCCATAGCCACTAAATTCTTATTTAGAATTCGCACTTCATCTTGTAGGCACAGTTGTTCATTTTTTAACAATATATCTACACTATCAACAAGCTGTTCTCCATTTATAATAACTAAACAATTACAAGGTTCAATTAATTTTTGTGAAATAGCATCACCTATTTCAGATTTTTGAAGGTATACTTGATTCGTTGAGTCCTTAACGCACTGTAAATTATTTTTGTAAGAGGCCGAAGGAAAAAAATCATTATGCGTATGATTTTCTGTGAAACCATCACTGCTGTCATGACATTCTTTATCGACGGATTCTTTACTGTTTTCATCTAGGTTGTTAGCTTCGTCAATTAGATGGGTTTTACCTGTGGTGGAAGACAATATGTTTTCAAATTCTGAATAAAGGGATGTAGCACTTCCTTCCACTTTATTTTCTTCTTTTGCAACCGATTCCCTTTCCTCCGAAGTTTTTAAGGTTTTATTAACATGTTGAAATGCTTCTGTAGAAATACCCTTAGGCTTTGAATTGTTTCGGGCATACCCCTGCATCAGCTCAATTGTTTTTGTTGTAACAGTATGATGAGAACTTGTCGTTTCCATTACCTTAGTCGTTGAAATCGGATTTTGTGTTGCAACAAAAGCTGAAAGAGGTTTCAGTAATAAATATCCTTCTTCCAGGGCATTTCGAATTGAAAGGACTTCCCCACTTTCTGGGTACCTTATAATTTGGTTTTCAACATCAATTAGACCTTCATTTAAAGCTTTTTCTATTTCAAGCGCATCTATTCTTGGCGGATATGGAATACACATAATGATATTATTTTTTAAAGCTGCTTTTATTGTCATTTTTTGGCCTGTATAAGGATGGGTTACCTCGTTTTTATTAGGATTAACAAGCTTTCTTTCAATGGCGACAGGAAACGTCATAGCTATAGGAGGCAAGTTACTAACGTCATTTTCATCATAGGTCAAGTCGAATACTTCATCTTCAACAGCTTCACTTATATTTAAAGCCTTATCACCAACTTTGAAAGTAGATGCGATACCATCGACAACACCGGTTTTTATTGCTTCCTGCAGTGTCAATCTCATCGGCTTTTGAATTACTGAAAGCGGGTCTAGAATATCGCAAGTAATAGCTTCATTTATGTTAAGTAAATAACCATTATCTGGATGTATAATTTTTTGATTTTCCAAGTCGATAAGGCCTTGTTCCAGCAATTTTGGTATTGATAAAATCTTAGCTAGTGGTATTAAGATATGATTGTTAAATTCTGGTTCAATAATACATTCTTCGACAGCTTGGCTGATGTTTAAAGTTCGGTTTCTCTGGGGATCTAAAATTTTTCCCTCATGACCGTTAATTAGTCCGATCTCCAAAGCTTTTTTTAATGGAATGTCATATTTGTTAGAAAACCCCTCAAGAATATTTTTTGCTTCCAAGTCAATTATTCCTTTTTGTAGAGCATCACTGGGTTTTAAAATAATTTTACGCATTTTTTGAAGCGTAACTGAAATGTCACTGGCCTCACTTCTTGGCACAATACCGCGTTCATAGGCTACTTCAACAGGTATGTTTTCACCAGTTTTTGGATCAATAACGAATCTTAGTATTTTTAAAGCATCTTCTACTGGGATTAGCGGCATACCAGACACCTTAATCAATCCGGCTTTCACCGCTTCACTAAAATTCTTGCGTTCGCCAGATTGCGTCAAAACTATATCATTTTCAAAATCATAAATTTTGCGACCGATAGCTTCTTTAATCGAAACTTCTTCCTTTGTACACGGATCAACCACTTGTATGAAATTTTCATTTATTCGACCCTCAAGTGCTGCTTTTAATATATTCTCTGATTGGCCTGTTTCTGTAAAGATGACTAACATCGTTGAAGGGTCGTAAATTTCACCAGGTGCAATTTGTATTGGATCAGGGGATTCATCTTCCCAGCTTATTTTTTCTTTTTCAGTAAAGTTAGGCGATGTAGAAGAAGATGTTTTAGTATTCACCTTTCCTATAAAGCTATAATCTTCAACAATTAATTGATCAGCATCTGACGTACATTGCTTAGTTACCAATTTTTCCGTTTCAGGCAACTGGTCACTTAACTCTGGGCTCAAAAGACCGTAAGACAGGGCCTGCTGTACCGAATAAACATTTCCTGTGTGTTGGTCATAATATAACTGCTGGTCTTCGTAAATTAAACCCTGACTTACTGCTTCGTTAAATGTTAAGGACTGACCATGTTTCTCCCGGGTGGTTGTTTGAATAGATACGTAACGATTGATTGTTCGAGTAAGAGTTTCTGTTGTCAATGTTATATTTAATAAACTACTTAGAAATAAAGCACCTTCTGGTGAAATGAATTTCGCTTCAATAGCTATATCAAGAGGCACATTTTTTCCAGTCTTAGGGTCAAGTAAATATCCTGTTTTCGGATCGATTAGGTTATGAAAACATAAATCGAGCACAGTTAATTCGTTTCCTCTACCATCATGCACACCTACTCTTTTAGTAAACATCTCATATACCTCCTGGCGCACCATATTCTTCTTTACAGCAACATCCAGGGGTTCGTAAACATTTTTACTAATTTCTAAAGCAAAGCCGGAATCTCTTCTACACAAAATATCACGAGATAAAGCTATATTAAAACTGACGAAATCATTCCTTCTCCAATCTTTAAACCCATCTATATTGAACAAGGATTTCTGCGAAACCGAACTGATAAGACCACGCTCTACTGCCGCAGGTATAGTTATTACCTCTCCAGTAATAAAGTCTCGGTACCTAAACTCCTCAACTAATATAATTTCTTTTTCGATTGCCTCTTGTAGAGTAACTAACTCTCCCGTTATTTTATGAATACATTTTAAATTATTCTTATCCAAAACTCCTGATTCAATGGCCTGAATTAGGCCTAACTTATTTCGATGCATTGGGCTATTAATTTTTTCATTAGTATCTAGCAAGTGACAATCAACAATATCTTTCAAAGTGTAAGGCTTAACAATGAGCTTCCGATTCTTAGCCTCAATAAAAGTTAATTTTTCTTTTGTAATTTCATTAATGTAGCGTCCGGTTTTCGAGTTTAAAATTCCAAGTTTAAGTGCTTCGCTCACCGAAATTTTTATGTCATTCTTTGCATCAACAACTTCCACGATATTAGGGTCAATTAATTGATTTTTTATAGCTAAGTCAAGTCTGAATTTATCGCCAGAGTTGCGATCTGCAATCCAACCTGATGCATCAATTAGTCCATGGTCAATAGCATCGCTTAAGCACAATGCACAAGATTTTATTGTTACTGACTCATGCTTTATTAAATATCCATGACTGTATGCTTCTGGTAAACTTATGAATTTGCTTGGCACTGACCCCACTTGGCTAGGCCCAGTTTCGACGTCTTCTTGAGGTAAAGTCTCGATAATTTTTCCGGGGTTTATGCTATTTTCTTCGGCTTCCGTAGTTATCCTAATTCGTTTTTCAGCAGATTCTTGTCCCAATTCTGCTTCATTTATCTCGCTCTGTATTATCTCAAGCAGTGATAAATCTTTACCTCTGTTATCTTTACTTACACCTGGTTTTAATAAATAATGCATCAATTTGGTATCAATAAAGCCTTGCTTTGCCGCTGATTCCAAAGAAACATATTTATCATTCAAAATCATTTGCCCAGAACGTACATCCAAAATCCGCATATGAATCGCGTCTCTGATTGTAATACTTGCACCCGTTCGTGGATCGCGTATGCCAACGATGTCGAGAAAATCGCTATTGAATAATTGAATTACATCTTCACTGCTACTATCATTCTCTCTTTTGAATACATGAGGTTCGACATTAAGTGATACAACTAAGGGATCTCCATCGCCTATGCGTAATGCTGAGGACGAAATTAAGCTTGGGCTTCCATAATCATTCTTTGAATTGAATCTATAAAATAGAAGACATTCATACATACATAATATTACGTTATCGTAAAGACGTTTTTATTTCCTTCTCTTGGAGTAAATTCAAATATTATAACATATACATATATGTATGTATGTACATATAGTATATAACTATATACGGGTAGGATTTCGGCTGCGGCCTGACGGAAACTAAAACATGGTTATGACAATGAATATTGTGCCTGAGAAAACTTTGAATATGGATGCAATTACAAAGTTAGAAGGGGAAAAAGCAGCAAGAAGTATTAAAAGAACTCAATTATTTTACAATAGTGACCAATAACAGGACTCATTTATAAAAAACGTGTATGTATTATTTACGACATATTTTAGCCATTAATTTCATGTCACGCCCTGCTGATTTTCTGCATGAAGACTTGGCACCCGTTCACCTTTTGGTAGCGATATGTATATATTTGCAATGCGTTAGGCTTAAAATGTCTTATCAAAAAGGATTTCAAATAATAAGCCCCGCCCCATTGCGAGTGCCATTGCCAAAAATTTCGACTCGATTAGTGTATAAAAACGTAAAAACTTGGCAGCACTGGATAGTTTTCGATGATTTTTATCGGTACTTAACTCAGTAGGCAATGCCAATGCTTCAAGCCGTGAATTTTTGTCTAATTTAAGATCGAAAAATACCAGATGCTTGCCATTTTGCAAATCGCGCGTTATACCATCAAGGGAGAAACATTTTGGAAGCGTTTAATAGCTCTAAGGATATCAGAGATTTTTCTAGTACATTTCATTTTATTTATAAATTTGAAATTACAGTAATTTGATGAAGATCTCGTCGAAAAAGAACATTTCTGTTCCTCCATGCCTTCTTTGTAGAGTAGCACTTTTTTTTTATAAGCTTTTGGCTTTACATAGGGTTCCCCTGAATATAAACTCCTCAGCCTTCTTATTGCGACAAAGCAATTTTTCTTAACTAATTCACACCCAGCAATTTTCGTCCGCTTCGTTCTGACTTATTAAAGCTTTGGTGCACTTTTTCCTTATTTTCAGAGTACTGGCTAAAAAAATCTTGCTGCAGTAAGTCTTTTTAACGACTGGAAGCGGTCACAGGTTTTCTTGACTTACCAAATGTAGTTCTAAAATATCAATTAAGATGTCAAATAAATAATACCTAAAGTTTTCAATTAGTGGACGATGTAACTATAAAAATTTAATTACGTGCTTGTGTATTTTGGAAGAAATAATGTATGCTGTTCAGGTGCAACAATTAAGTATTATTTTAGTTTTAATTACTGTGGTTGAGTAATTGCAGCGGTGTTGCGAATTTTCATCGATGCCGGATTGCTGATTTTAGGATCCTCCTACCCATGCCTCGACGGATTCATCAGTAGACCCTTCAAAATGTTCACAGTTCATACATTTATGTTGAACATACTCATTTAAAAGATAAGCTGATACGATCAACTCCTGGTGGTGATGAGGTGGAGAACTATACATATAATAACACCAGCCGACGAAAATAACTTTGTTGTCTCCCAGCCAGGGTTGCGTGATTTCAAATCCTTTTTATTCAAAATCCGCTTTTAATTAACAAATATATTTGATTTGTGATTTGGTTTGTTGACCAAATAAGATAAGATAAGTTTTATTTGTGATATGATTCGTCACCCAAATAAAAAATAAATTTTATTTGTGATTTGATTCGTCAACCAAATCAGAAATCAAATTAATTTGTCATTTGATCGCCCTCCAAATCAGAAATCAAATTTGTTTGTGATTTGATTTGTAGAGCGAATCATTTGATTTGTGATTTTTCAACAAAATAATACTCTTGTATACAACGCAACTTCTTCGGGACTTTTGGGACTGATTCGGAAGTTTTGGGACTATTTCGATATTTTCGGGGTTCTTGGGCATATATCAGGATTTTTGGGACTATTTCAAAATTTTCGTGACTTCTTCGGGATTTTAGGGATAATTCCGTATTGTTGGGACTTACCCTGCAAAAATCGTTGGACCATGTAGTCTATTTGTGGTATATTGGAGTACTTACAAAAGTGCTCCTCTGTCATGCTGTAGCGGACCAACTCGTGTCTCTGCACCAGCTTATTGTTTGTTATACGATCACTGCTCGTGTTTTAACGAAATGTGATTGAAGTTGAGCATTTGAAAGCACATTTGCATGTCTGGCTGTAGCTGAACGTGTAGAGATGCTCGCTGTTAGTTCTTAGCTCCCAGCATGTTCGGGTTCGAATACCGTAGGAGGCAACATGTAATTTTTAATTTTTGTCTTGGTTTTTATTAATTTCGAAAAAGCATTTGAGAAGTGAAGAACAAAAGCGTGTACAAACGAAAAAATATAACGAGAATGTCATTGGAGTATGTTGGGAGTAGTTTTGTGCTACTCTGATGTAATGCAGAGATGGAGTATATGGTCCTGCCCTAGGACATCGCAATGTTAATTGGACCATATTTTTTATATGAATTGTGGTTAATTTTGGAGTACTCCTTGGTCCTTCGGGAGTACTCTTTACATGCATGCATGGAGCAGTCGCGATTTTTGCAGGGATTTCGGGTTTTTCGAGACTACTTTGGAAATTTCGGGTTTTCTCGGGATTTTTGGACTATTTCACGATTTTCGAAAATTCTTCAGGATTTTGTGGACTATTTCAGGTTTTTCAAGACAACTTCGGTATTCTCGGGCGCACATCGGGATCTTCGGGACTACTGCGGGATTTTTGGGACCAATTCGGATTTTTTGGTACAATTTCGGGCTTTTCGAGACTTCTTCGAGATTTTCGAGGTTCTCGGGACTATTTCGGGATCGTAGGGATTTTTGGGACCAACTCGGAACATTTGGGACTATTTCGGTTTTTTGAAACTTCGAGATTTTCGGGGTTCTCGGGAATTTTTGAGCATTTCGGTATTCTCGGGCGCATATCGGGATCTTCGGGACTACTTCGGGATTTATGGGACCAATTCGGATTTTTTGGTACTATTTCGGGTTTTTCCGAGACTTCTTCGAAATTTTCGATGTTCTCGGGGCTATTTCGGGATTTTAGGGATTTTTGGGATTATTTCGGTTTTTTGAAACTTCGAGATTTTCGGGGTTCTCGCGGATTTTTGGGACTATTTTGGTATTTTTGAACTATTTCGGGACTATTCCGGGTTTTTCGAGATTTTCGGGGTCCGCGGGACAATATCGGGATCTTCGGGACTACGTGGGGGTTTTTGGGCTATTTCCGAATTTGTGGGACCATATCGGGATTTTAGGGACTATTTGGGTGTTTTTAGGACAACTTACGAGATTTTCGGTGTTCCCGCGAATATATCGGGATCTCCGGGACTACTTCGGGATTTTTGGGACTAATTCGAAGTTTTTGGAACTCCTTCGGGTTTTTTCGAGACTTTTGGGATTTGGATTTTGGGACTACTGTGGTACTTCGGGATTTTGGAGATTTTCTCGGGATTCTAGAGACTATTCCGGGTCTTTCAAAACTGCTTCGAGATTTTCGGGGCGCGCGGTAATATATCGGGATCTTCGGGACTGCTTTGAAATTTTTGGGACTATTTCGGGTTTTTCGAGACTACTTGGAGGTGGTAGGGGTTCTCAGGACTACAACAGGATTTCTTCTTCTCGAAGAAGTCTCGAAAAACCACAAATAGTTCAAAAACACCGAATTAGTCCCGCAAATACCGAAGAAGTCTCGAAAATCCTGAAATAGTCGAAAATTCCGAACTTGTCCCGCAGATCCCGATTTAGAGCCAAGAATCCCGAAAGTCTCTAAGAAGTCTCGAAAAACCCGAAATAGTCCTAAAAATCCTGAAAATCCCGAAGAAGTTTCAAAAGTCCCCAGGTAGACTCGAAAATCTCGAAATTGTTCAAAAATCCTTATGTCATCCCAACAATACGGAATTATCCCCAAAAAACTGAAGAAGTCTCGAAAATTTCGAAATAGTCCCAAAAATCACGATATATTCCCGAGAACCCCGAAAATATCGAAATTGTTCCAAAAATTCCGAATTAGTCTCAAAAATCCCGAAGTAGTTGCGTTGCCTACAAGAGTATTATTTAGTTGAAAAATCACAAATCTTGGTTGACGAATCAAATCACAAGTAAAATTTATTTTTTAGTTGGTTGACAAATCAAATCACAAATAAAACTTATCTTTTATTTGGTTGACCAAGCAAATCACAAATAAAATTTATTTAGGATTTGATGCAACTTTCAATTCAGAAATAAATTTGATTTATGGATTTGTGATTTAGCTAAATCAAAATCACGCAACCCTGCTCCCAGCAGAATGAAGCATATATTTTTTAGATCCGTATACCTACTGAGTTAAGTTGCAAATAAAAATAAAACCTAAAAATAGTTTAAACCTTTTTATTATTAACAAAACCATAAATGACTAAATTAGAGAAAAGAGGCAGTACTTCACTCTTATGGCATTCTGAAGGGAAAGTTTTTTTGGATTTTTTAAGTGTTCTGTTATAAGAGGATCCCGATGCTTCCCTAACGAATGTCGACATTCCAGCGATAGTCAGCAAGCATTGAAGGTTAAAATTTTCCTTGGTAACGCCGCTCAAGTGCGGCAATATCCTGGTGGATGTGCTCACCATGCTTGTCGCTCATTGCTCTCATATTTTCGGGAAAAATCTTTGATGAGAATGCAGGAAATGTGTTTTTAGTTACATATTACAACCCATCATCTCATACTGTGAACTATTTCGGTATAGTTAGGAGACTTGTTATCCCCGAGAAAATGTTTGGTCACCGCTATGAATGAGAGCCAGGCCTCTTTTTCTATATCGTTTAAGCACGATAAAAACTGCAGATCGTTGATAAGTTTCTTTATATCTGGACCTACAAAAATACCTTCTTTTATATTCGCTTCACTCAGAGAACCTTTTCTTTAGGTGAATGGCTAATGTCTGGCGACCAACTTTGTGGAATGCGATTAGTTGAAAGGCCATTCAACCCAAAGGAGAATGCAAAGTTGAACAATGCAAACGCCCTTTTATGGTAAATATTTTTATATTTTTTATAATTTGATAGTTTTAGCCATTCAATTTTTTTTCGTTCAATCGCCTCGTGCGAAAGCCCTATTAAGAAAACCAGGCGAACTTTTGTCCATGACTTTAGCAAAGTTTTTGACCATGCCCAGTTTTATATGCCGAGGTGGTAGTAAAATTTTTTGGGGTCCACAAGTGGTTCATGTTTAACGTTTTTCTATCCTGGTATGAATAATGTTCTTTCCGACCATTTTTCTCGCATAAAGTGCTCTGTACGCGCTCGACTGTCCCTTTCACACAAAAAGCAGCAGAAATTAGTGTACCCAAGTTGTAGTCCCAAGAGCAACTAATTTTAAATCGGAACATATAATCCACTCAAAATCTTTATATTTAATTTTTTCTAATAACAGTTTCATTACTTCATTAGTTTCTTTTACGTTGGAGTTATGTGCTAATGGTATCGAGGGTAATTTGTTGCCATTATGAAGGAGCAGTGTTGCCATTTTAGCCGTTTTCCGGCTAGATTTAGCCGGTTGCGATAGCAAACAGCCGGAGAAATTTCGATTTAGCCGGCAGCCGATTTGTTAGCCGTTTTGCAGAAAAAAATTAGCCGTTTTTAGCCGATTTTGTAATTTGCCTTGTTTTCTTAAATATCAAATATGTATATATGTTTCCATTTTTGACTAAGCGACCCAAAATCTGTTAGAAATGGCTACTAGCCTTATCGTGGAGAAAATTTTCATGTCAGGCAGGGTTGTATGAAATTGGGCCGATTTCGCTTATTTTTATTTTAAACGAAGAAGGGATTTTCTTCATAAAATGTTTGTTATAAATGTCTTAATTTTAAGTGTGAAGTTTTATTCGCAAACTTAGAAAATAAGAAATTGTTTCACTGTTAAGACACTTAAGATGCGTTTGTGTTTGGATATAGTGCCAACAAACAGAATAAATATTACATGTAGATATTGTCTTCCCAGATAGCGCATATTCAATTCTGCCTAAATTACAAAACATCATTTTTGCCCACTCCCAAAGGTTTAAGGTAAGGGAAAAATTGATATTTTCAAGCACTATGTACACATATGTATTTTTTTAAACAAACTTTTTTGCTGAGAACTTATTTAAATTCCAAAAACCGAATGCCAACTTGAACTAAAGGAACCAACACTGAAGTGAGTCAAAATGAAAATAAAAGAGCACAAATTTCTATGTAAAGCAAAACTCTCTGGGAATCCTACGAGACATCTGCCGGTCATATGACCGGTCATCTAAATGGGAGATCTGCAGTATTTTGGCATCATATTTTACATCAGAATTGAAGGGATTTCTGAAAAATCTGACCAGTTCTTTTGTGTAACTGTGATTTTGCATCCCTTGTCAACATATGGCCTCGGTTGATGTTAACTTAAGGTCGTTGTTTTACTGCCTTAAAATTGAAGCGAAATTTTTACAGCGTTTTTCATGTGTATTGGTTTCTATTTGAGTGTATTGAGAATCGGTCAGTCTGAAAGGGCCTTGTAGGGAAGACAATAGGTTTGTTCGTCGAAAATCCAGCGGGAATTATCACTCAAAATATCAGATAGTAAGAAAAAATTTTCCCAAATACTCTCTCATGTAGAGAAACTTGCAATTTTCTATACGAACGCAAATTTGCAAGTTTCTCTGCCAGCTTGTGTCCACGGTTGCATTTCAAACAAAAGAAATTTGTATAGAATTTTTAAAATTCTTTCAGAGGGGCAAAAAACAGGATCTACGTGTGTATATCTTGTCAGTCCGACTTTCTTCAACATACGATTCAATTTCTTACTCTCTGTTGAGATTGCATTCCGATTAAGAATATCATTGGAATCATTGCAATTAAATAAATTAATTATATTAAATTAATCATATGTTTTTCCTAATTGCAAATTCTTGCTGGCAAAATTTTTTCCGGCTCGAATTTGTAACTTCTCTCCAAGAAATAGTCATTTTAATCGTGATTTATTTAAATAAAACATGTGAAATTTAGTTGAAGCATTTTAGCCGTTTTTAGCCGGTTTTATTTGCCAATTTAGCCGGTTCGTCCAAAAAGTTCTGGCAACACTGTGAAGGAGTACGGCTTTCAGACTGGTTTTTGATGAGTCTATGAACAATTTCCAATCAGTAGGATCATGTACCCCACCTAATTTAGACATAAGGTTGTCAATGTTGCTACAATAAACTAAGGTGTCATCTTTAGAAAAGCAATCGAAGTAACTGTGATAGCGCTTACGGTATTTGCACACGCGGACATCTTGCAATAAATTCTATTGCTTTAATCGCAAGTAATTCTCGAGTTTTCTTTCGTCGGATGCATATCCCGTACAAACTCATCGAGGCGCACCTGATTTACTATCAAAGGGGTTTTGTAATTTTCGTCGGGATGAAAGTCTGACTGTAGTTCATAAGAACATGAAGGTTCCGGACTAGGATATGAAGATGGTTCCTTCCATCCCAAAACGGTTTTTCAGAATAAAGAATGGGCTTGTCAACAGAACTAACGCTAGGATATCCTAAGGAATTTTCTTTCTTCCTATCGTCCTTGGGCTCTCGTCATATGAATGGCTGGACAAATTGTACAGCTAAAATTTTCCATGAGACAAATCAAGGAAATTTGTATAGCATGTATTACAACAATAGTGCGGTACCCAATTTTTGTCAATATTTTTAATTTCCACCTTGAAGCAATCTCGGTAGTACTTTTGTAATAATGGCGAAAATACTTTTTTTTATTCTTCTGGGTATATCTTCCGCGAATATAGCAAAATAAATTAGGTGAATTAACACACTTACGTGATTGATGGCTTCCAAACTATACTAATACTTGAATGAACGAACGTTCGATTTTCAAATTAACATCTCTTTTATGTGTCAACACGTAACTTTTCTAAATAACACGATTACTCCGAAATTCATACTAAACATAATAAAAGGAGATTTTGGTATTAATGAAGGTTAATATAGGTAATATTATCGACGTGAATTATTCAGGTGGGCCAGTGACTGTTGGCTAGTGTGATTAAACTCAACCTGGACTAAATCAATTTAATATCTTTAGGTTGTTTTTGGATATTTTACCGCAGCTGTATATCCACATATACATACATAAATATATACATAAGAAGTTACAAAACTACCGTTCAAAGAACTTATTTTTACCAGAATAAAAAGTTCGGTCTCACCGTGTTTTACTATGGTCGTCATTCTGAGGAATATCTTCACGGCCGTCTTTTCCCGCAGAACGTCTTTGAACAATATCAGCTCTGAAGGTTTTAAGCGGGTTTTGAATACTTTCGGCATACCGCTAAAATTAATTTATAAAATGGGGTATATTATAAATATGTTTGAAATTTAATGATAAACAAAAAGTCGATTAGTATTACCTGGAATTCATATGCAAAATTGTATTCACGGCCATTCATTGTTGTATATTTTCTTTTATTTTTCCGTCGTATTTTCTTTTATATTTAAGAGTTCGTGTCTTCGTTACAAAAGAATTGTTAAAGAACTCGTTATATAGCTACATATGAACATATGTGACGAAATCATTGGATAACTATTTGTTTGTATGGTATATATAACGCTCGTATCTTTTTCGCACAAAAACTGTATATTACTGTGAAAAGTTTCGGTTTCGCAGAATCTCCATAAAAAAAAGAAGTATTTCTTACTGTACAGTACTTTTTGAAACAGTTTTTCAATCAAATAAAAGAATTCCTGATCCGAGACAAAATGATATGGTCCGACAAAGCCATGTAAATCCCAATTTCTTACTTTAAATAAAAATTTTTGGCATTAAAAAGTATAGATACGAGCGTTAGGTATATACGCTCGCTCCACTATATATGCGTTCACCCTTGTTTTTTTTTTAATATTCGCAATGTTTTGAAAGCTATATTTTTTTGTTATTTTTGTACCAAAATATGGTTCATGCTATAAACAAATTCATCATTTATCAAAATTGTGTAGTATCACAATTTCACCCGCCAGTTAGCGGTAAAGTTAAATTATTACCTAAAATCTTATTTTTGATCCACTTTGGCTAATAATCAAAATATGTATTGGTAACGGTTAAGGCAATACTATTGCAAATAAGAGCTGCTCACCACCGATAAATCAACCGCCAGAACCATTGCGCGCCTTTTACTGTAATAAATTGAAGTAAAAACAAAAATAAACTTTCACTTAAATTGCTTTCGTGAAACTTACTTTTGAGGTATTTCGTCTGAAATAAGCCTATGTATATTGGATTTCTGTAGAAGAATTATACGCATCCATTTTGAAATTGCCACCAACTATACTATAAAGTGGGACAGATTCACTATAGAATCGGATTCTTGTTGCCGCCAGAGAGTGAAGAGGAAATGTTCTTCAAATTTATTTCGTTGTGAGATTAACCGTTCTATGGAATGCTGCACAATTAGAGGAATTTAAGAACTTCTTCAGGGACATAACACTTTCGTTAGGTTATTTAAGGCGGCAAACGACTACCAAGCCTTAATCTTAGCCGATGAGCTTGCCAATGGAAATCGTAAACGTGAATTGTTGGTGAAAACGTTGGGCCAAAATGTTTCAGGGAAAAAATTAATCTAGGGCGGGACGAAGTTCACAGTTATTTCATTTAAACTTCTTTAATTTATTTTTTTTAAAGGTGGCAACCCTTGTGAAATACTTCAGTATTATTAAAAACTTTCAAACTAAAGGTTTCTTAACAATATTTTGTTTGACAACCATATTTTAATTCTTCAGATAGCTTGCGTATAATTAATTTAACTTTTCAAACAGGTGGCAACCGTTTTCAAAATATATGCAAACTACAGCTTTTTTAAGCCACTTGACATCCATTTTATTAATATAATTTTCAAATAAATAACTCCCTTAATTTAAATTGAATTTGATTTTCTTTAAAAGGTGACAACCCTCATCCATGAGTAGATAATGATTTTATATATCTCCATACCAAGTTCCAGTAATCAATCAAAAATATTTCCTGAGAAATGCAGTGTGAAAAATTCCGTTTGTATGGGAGTTACCACGCCCCCTTGTCTAATCGAGATTACATTTATCCTATATTTTANCCATGAGTAGATAATGATTTTATATATCTCCATACCAAGTTCCAGTAATCAATCAAAAATATTTCCTGAGAAATGCAGTGTGAAAAATTCCGTTTGTATGGGAGTTACCACGCCCCCTTGTCTAATCGAGATTACATTTATCCTATATTTTAATGGCCTTATTCATAAAAATTAAAGTAGGTTTAAAGAGCTTTATAAATTGGCGTTTTCATACATTTTTCAATTTATAAACCTTTTATAAAGCTACTTTATTTTTTATGCATAAGGCCATAAGTTTGTCGGCCGCTGTGGTGTAGTGGTAAGCAGACAAACTGACTTTCGGAATTATAATATTAGTAAGGATAATACCCTCTATCTGCACACATTTCACAAAGATCAGATTCTGATATAAAAATCCACCTAAGATTTAACTGTCATCGGTGGTATTAATGCTATCTTATATAACGCTTGACAGAAAAATGTACGCTATTATAATTTGGAAATCAGAAGTAATATCAGTGATGACAGGTAACAAGTCCCACAAGGTTTCTAAAATCACAAGTTAGTTTTTGTGCAAATTGCAGAAAGAGGGGGGTATATTTCACATTTTTATATTTGTATGTTATTGGAAATTTTCTGCTGTGTTTTGGCAACAGTAAAAAAGCACATAATTTGTGTTTTAAAAGTGTGTAAAAAATAATCAATTAACTTACATGATCTCGGTTCCGATATTAAATAATCAATAATTGTTTATACCCCCATTTTGGCACATTGGCTTGAATGAGCCATCTAATAAATAAAAGTTGGTTTTTTTTCAACCCTAGACATTCCGAATTCGTTCAAAACATGCTAATTTAAAACACAGAATTCTCTCAGTGTTCCTTCGGGGTTTTTGGACTGTTTCTTCAATTTAATAGTTTCCATTTATTTTTGTGAAATGAAACATGTTTTACAAGTTCTGGATCATTTCTACACTCTTTCTTCAAATATTTCTCGTATTTTAGCTGCGTTTTGCGTTTGGTTTTTCGCATCGTATTTTTACTATATTTGTAATTTAAAATTTTTTAATAAAATCAAATGGTGGTAGTTCATGGTTGTGTGTGGATTAATAGCACACTAAGGATTTGGCAATAACCTTTTTCATGNACAAGTTCTGGATCATTTCTACACTCTTTCTTCAAATATTTCTCGTATTTTAGCTGCGTTTTGCGTTTGGTTTTTCGCATCGTATTTTTACTATATTTGTAATTTAAAATTTTTTAATAAAATCAAATGGTGGTAGTTCATGGTTGTGTGTGGATTAATAGCACACTAAGGATTTGGCAATAACCTTTTTCATGTATTAAAAAACAACACTTACGGAGCAATGTTTATTGTAAGAACAACATTTTTTTCTATGAATCGACATACTTTAAACATTTGAATGAGGAAATAGCGTCAATGACTTTATTTCCAAATTTTTGTTGCCTTTATTTCGATTTTGAAAAGTTAACAATGTCAATTGACTTTAATTCGCACCAGGGTGGGAAATAAAGTCAATTGACCTTATTTCCGTTGATCTTGTTACCTGTCACCATTATGTTGCTTTAGGACAATGATTCCCAAAGTGATCCAGGTGGACCCTTAGGGGTCCACGGGAGACTCGCCGGGGGTCTACGTTGGCGTGAAAAAAATATGGAGGTCCACGAGTGCTCTTGTTGCACTGCTGCACTGACCACAACTTTGTGTCTTCTTACTTGGGGAATTCTTAAAGATCACCTGTAGACTAAAAATAAACGGATGTTGGTATAACACTGAGTGGGGCGAGGCAAAAATTGATGGTGGTTGTTGAAGAGATTCTATAACGTTGAGTTCCCTGAGGCTGAATGCCGTTTTAATTCCAGCACTGAGCCTGGACTCACACATTTTCGAGTCTTTACTTATGGCTCCAAAACTGACTGTGGGTCAGGAACTGGGTTCTTCTTCGAAGTTGGTGGCGATAAGCTTCACTTTTCTCTTGGGGCATATGTTTCGTTGTTCCAGGCTGAGGTATTTGCAATCCTCAAAGCCATGGACTACGTTGTGGAAAATAGGTGGAGGGGAAAGAGTTTACGTATCTGGAGTGATACTCAGGCTGCACTCAAGGTGGCCAGCCCTCTATCTAAGTTCTTCCAAACTAGTTCGGCAATGCAAGTCTCGAATAAATTATGTTGGTAAACATAACGAGCTTGCTTCCTCGATACGCAACCAGTTATTGGACTCCCCACTTCGGCCATCGAAGCCACCATCAGAAACTGGGTGAATACTTCGCTCAGAAATGACTGGGGGCATCTAGGGAATGTTGCCTTCAATCTCAGAAGTCCTATCTAGTTTTTTGCTCTCATTGAGCAGACGGGACTACAGACAACTTCTAGAACTGCTGACTGGTCACTTAAGGTGCCACAAACGCCTGACTGTGATAAACGTAAATGACAACTCTATTTGCCCTTCATACCTTGAAGAGGATGAGACGGTGGAACACTTTTTGTGCTTCTTTTCTGGTCTTTTCTTTTTTGTCAGTTTCTGAATTTGAAGTTTGGCGTAGAAAGCTTTGCAGTTTTATGGTTTCAAGTTTTGTGTTTTAAAAATGCGAGTGACGAATATTTTTCGCATCACTTTAAAACTCGGAGCTATAAAAATAAAAATGATGCCATCAACACAAATTAACTATTTAACAAATACATTACATGCAAATTCATGAGTGAGCCGAACATGTGAGGAGTTTGTTTAGTGATCTTAAAAAATATAACTCCTCAGAGCGAGATACTTCTTTCGTGGCTTTACGCGCTGTTTTTTAAAACTTGCAAGTGTGTAATCACGTTATTTTAATAAATAGAACGCAAGAAAATATTTTATTTTTATTCTTGCCACCTCGAATTTAGTTTTGGAACTCCCCGCGATGTAAAATTACATCGATAGATTTAATCTAAAATTTTTTTGACGAGCTTTAGGAATATGTTAGAAAAGCAGCAGGGAGTCCACCGAAACTAGTAAAGTTTTGAGAGGGGTCTACGAGAAAAAAAGGTTTAAGAACCTCTGCCTTAGGACAAAGAATTTGATAATTGCCCATAAAAGAATAAAATAAAGCGCAATTTATGGAAAGGATATACATTTTTGAAAAAGGACTTTGGTTGCTTATATTTGGGGAATACGGTAACCGATTAAAAAAAAAACGATATATTAGATTAAAGGTTATAAGTAAGTAAGACTTTAAGTTGCCGATTTATTT